GGTAACGGAGGCAGCTCCTGCCCTGATGTGCTCCGTGGAGCTGCTTGTCGTGAGCTGTGTTACCTTTCTGCACCTTCCGGAGATGCTGCAGCAGGACAGGGACAGTCTCCCTCACGATGCTGGTGTGCCTGGACCAGGCCGGCAGGGCCCGCAGGCAGGGGCTTTTTTTAGGGAGCGGTGGTCGCGGGGGCTCTCTCCCTCCCGCTCTGAAGAGGAAACACACCTCAGAGGGGTGTTGGGGTTACCTCAGGCCCCCCTCACCCAAGGGCATTCAGGGCCCAGACCCTGCCAGGGTGGATGGGGTGAAGCAGCACAGCAGACTAGCCCGTGCCAGGCCCAAGGCACTCTGCCTGCTCTGTGGCTGGGCAGCTCCCCACCGCCCAGGTGATCCCGGCCACACAGGCTGGTTGCCAGCACCAGGCGGGGCCTTCCCTGTGCCAGCACCACAGTGCCTGTGCCGGGAATCCCCCAAGGAGAGCCACCGACCTACGCCATGTGGCACAGCCCTGCTACCTGGTAGGAGCCAAACGGGGATGGGACAGGCTTCACCCCAACACCAGACATGACTCCCTTCCCAAAGCCGTCAGCCCTACCTGACTGCAGCTCCTCTTCAAGCCTGGGTACCATGCGTCCAGAGAAAACCTTTGGGTAGATGGGGGCCAGAGATCCGGCTGCCTCCATTGCTGCTTCGCTGCCAGGGGGAAGAGAGCAGGAGGGGTGATGTGAGCACTGCAAACCCTGGGCTGCTTTTACATGAGCTGCCAAGATCTGGGCCAGAAGATGCCTCCAGAAACCTATTTCTCAGCAATCCGCCTTTTTCACCCTACTGGCAGGCAGAGCAGAGCCCCCTACTTCGACAGGCCTAGACTTTCTAATTTCCAGCCCAGAAATCACCTGGTTTATCCTTTTGCTCTTACACCCACATGGCCTTTTAGTTCAGACAGTTCCTGTGCTTTCCCCCAGACTACAGCCTGTCTCTGCAGCAAAGCCAGGCTTTGTTCCTCTCCCCAGAGCGTGGGTGACTGCAGTGGCGCCAGCCTGCTCCTCACCTGCTCTGGGAATCCTCCTCATGCAAAGCGAGACGGATGAGGTGATCCACAACCAGCTCCAGGTCAGAGGGAGACAGGAAGCCTGCAACAAGAGCCATAGAGGAATCCTGCCCTCGGCCAAAGGCAAGGATGCTGGTGTTCTGGCCAGCATCCTTCCCCCTCGCCCAGGCTAGCAGCAACGCAGCAGCATGCCAAATGCCAGAGATACAAGGTGCCCAGCACAAACAGGCAGGAGAGAGACCACGTGTCCCTCGAGCTCATGGTCTGGGCAGGAAGTGCTGCTGCTGCTCCTGTGCACCTACAGGCAGCAGGCAAGGACATCCCAGCAGCCACGTGGCACTGTGTCTCCCAGAACAGGGTGACACTTCCCTCTGCCTCACCAAGGAAAACAAGGCACCAACCTTGCAGGGAGCCCAGGATAGTCAGTGCCCTAATCCCGACCAGCTGCAGCTGCACGCTGGGATCCGTCAGTGCTGAGAACACCACAGAGCAAACCGGGGCTCGGAGTGACAGCAGAGTGCTCTCATCTGGAGAGAGAGGCATGGAGTCACTGCCTGTGTCTGGCTATCACCGCACAGCCACCACCATGGCACCTGACAGACCCTTTCTGGGTCCTGCCAGTTGACCATGCAGGGTCCCTGATGGCAGGGGGCTGCACATGCAGCCACCCAGGTCAGTGAGCTTTCCTCCTCTGTCAGCACATGGGAAGGTGAGGTCAGAGCCAGCAGCCCCCTGGGGACACTGGTGCCTCCAGAGGGACCAGCCAGCCTTACCTTCTTCCACATGTCCCCACTTCTGCTGCAACTCCAGGAAGCCCAGCAACATTTCCAAGATTGTCCTCCTCTGGCTACTCTGCAGGGACACAAAAGTGTAACCCAGATCACCATCACTGCTGGGACACAGCTACGCCTCAGCCCAATGCTGCGAGGGCAGAGGTTGCCCACAGCCAGGGAAGGACATCCACTTTGACACCCTGCTCCCACCAAGCCCTGCAGAGCCAGCGGGTGCACTCAGCCCTGCTGTCTGTGACCACAGAGCCCGGGGTGCCCCTCACCTGCGGGTGCTTGGTGTACTGCTCCAGCAGCAGGGGCAGGACGCTGCGGGTGACACGGTGGTAGGTGCGGAGGGAGGCACCCGCTGCTGCCTGCAGGAGTTTGGCACTTGGCCACACCAGCTTCATGTCGGGCTCACACAGATGGTGCCTGCAATCTGAGATAGGCTGGGCGGCGTCAGCTGCACCGGCAGAGCTTCTCTGCCTTGTGTGCGGGGATGCAGCTGATATCTGGGCTGGGACGTGCTGCCGGGGAGCAGCTCTGAGCTGCCGCACAGCCTCCCTAACAGAGCTGCTTCCCCCAGCTCCAAGCGCACAGCCCAGCCTTGGACGCCCCAATCCCAGCAGAGAGGAAAGCAACTCAATCCAACAGGCATTTCCTACTGCGCCCCCTTCTCCTCCCTTCCTGCAGCCTTGGAGAAACCGACAGTGGCTGTGAGAGCTAGAAAGAGAAGAAAGACGCTTCAAAGAGAACAGGAGGGCAGATCTCTAGCTAGGAGGATGCTTGCAGGCCTGGCTGCTTGGGGCAGGGTAGTTCTCTCTGCTAGCTACCTTGCAGGATGCTGCTGAGGAAGGAATCCAGCAGGTCCTCGGTGTCAGAGCTGAGCACAGAGCAGGAGAGGCAGGCTGAGAGGGCATGCAGCGCAGCCAGGCACTCTGCCTCGACCTTTTCGCTTGCTGTCTGGAACACCTGCAGGAGAGGCCGTAGGATGAGCTAAGCTCCATGCTGACCCCAACTGCAGGCTTCACACTCCCAACGCGGGCTGAAGGGCTCAGGCTCCCGCCTTGCTTCCCACACGCAGTGTGGCACATCCAAGCCCCAGGGACATGCTGATAGGGCTGGCCTGTCCCCCGACTTTCCAGCTGGGGCTGTCCAAGGTGGGGGCTGCTGGGGGATATGGGGCCCACCTGCTCTGGCTATGAACTCCTACTCAGCAGGAGCCCAGCTGTGGTGGAGCATTTGTAAGGGGCCCTGTGGTACTCACCTCCCTGCGCAGGGATGACCAGAGGCTGGGGAGGAATTCCTGCAGCTCCTTCTGCCCGTAGATGGCACAGCAGGCAGTCTGCAAGAGGGAGCCAGGAGAAAGCATGAGAGAGAAGCCAGTACTGGGAGGACATAGAGCAGAGACACTGCCCATCCTGACAGGGTCATGCTGAACTGCATGC